GTCTTACATACACCAACAAGAGTCTTCAATAAAGGTAAAAGTGATGTTAAGTGTTCACTTATCCATTTCATTAGTCATTTATATTTATTTCTCATTGTTTTCTGTATGTAGAACTATAGTTATTCTCTATAAAATGTATTTTTTTTTAATATTTTTGGATGTCTGGAATGGATTAATTGGATTTACATTATTTATGGGAAATATTACTTCAGTTTTCATACAAATCGGTTTTCAGCCAACCTTCTGGACTGGATTAAAGACAACAACCGAGGTTCCACTGTACTACTTACATTAACATTAAAGAGAGGATGAGGACCCCAATGGAAAAATGTCACTTTGATTTTTTTGGGGTTATCCTGGGTAATCTACACATGCTAATATATATGATAATCTATGTAACTGTATTTATGTGTACCTGAATAAACTTAATTTACTAATCATAGTAAATGGTACATGTATGTTACAATAGCAGGTACACGTATGTTACAATAGCAGGTACATGTATGTTACAATAGCAGGTACATGTATGTTACAATAGCAGGTACATGTATGTTACAATAGCAGGTACATGTATGTTACAATAGCAGTTACATGTATGTTACATGGGATTACACTGATTTTAGTTGGTTACGTCGTTTTCCTTTACATCTGCACATAATAAACCTATCTCAGAAACACAACTGCGTCAATTTCAGACCAAGAAAAAAATTGCTGAATTTGAACCCAGAAATAATGTACATATTTATCATGGCCAGGCACATAACATGACTCAAAAGTAACTGTTCCATCTGTACTTGTACACTGTACCATCTACACTTGTACAATGTACTGTGCACACTTGTACACTGTACCATCTACACTTGTACACTGTACCATCTACACTTGTATACTGTACCATCTACACTTGTACACAGTACTGTATATACTTGTACCACCTACACTTGTACACTGTACTGTATACTCTTGTACCACTGTACTACCAATGCTTGTACCACCTACACTTGTACTACCTACACTTGTACTACCTACACTTGTACTAGCAACACTTGTGCTACCAACACTTGTGCTACCAACACTTGTACTACCTACACTTGTACTACCAACACTTGTACTACCTACACTTGTACTACCAACACTTGTACTACCTACACTTGTACTACCAACACTTGTACTACCTACACTTGTACTACCAACACTTGTGCTACCAACACTTGTACTACCTACACTTGTACTACCAACACTTGTGCTACCAACACTTGTACTACTTACACTTGTACTAGCAACACTTGTGCTACCAACACTTGTACTTACACTTGTACTAGCAACACTTGTACTAGCAACACTTGTACTAGCAACACTTGTACTACCAACACTTGTACTACCAACACTTGTACTACCAACACTTGTACTACCTACACTTGTACTACCAACACTTGTACCACGTACACTTGTACTACCAACACTTGTACCACGTACACTTGTACTACCAACACTTGTACCACGTACACTTGTACTAGCAACACTTGTGCTACCAACACTTGTACTAGCAACACTTGTACCACGTACACTTGTACTACCAACACTTGTACCACGTACACTTGTACTAGCAACACTTGTACTACCAACACTCGTACTAGCAACACTTGTACCACTACACTTGTACTACAACACTTGTACCACTGTACAACACTTGTATACACTGTACCAACACTTGTACCACGTACACTTGTACTAGCAACACTTGTACCACGTACACTTGTACTAGCAACACTTGTACCACGTACACTTGTACTACCAACACTTGTACCACGTACACTTGTACTAGCAACACTTGTACTACGTACACTTGTACTAGCAACACTTATACTACACACAACACACGTCTATCATGCCACCTACACTCTTTCTTCCACCACTGCTTTGAAAAACACTGGTGCTAGACGAGCCTTAACGGGTGTTCGTGAGTGAAGACGGATGATGTGTTCGTGAGTGAAGACGGATGATGTGTTCGTGAGTGAAGACGGATGATGTGTTCGTGAGTGAGACGATGATTGTTCGTGAGTGAAGACGGATGATGTGTTCGTGAGTGAAGACGGATGATGTGTTCGTGAGTGAAGACGGATGATGTGTTCGTGAGTGAAGACGGATGATGTGTTCGTTAATGAAGACGGATGATGTGTTCGTGAGTGAAGACGGATTACTGTTCACCCGCAGCTCATCTCGTAGACGGTAGCGCATAAAAAAACGGGATTACATAGGTCACAGTGGGTCTCTGTCAGATCCCACTGAGCACTGTAATATGCACTTGCATATTTCAAATCCTACCTTACTAACAGGTATCAGTACGTCATAATTAAAGACACAACCTCATCAACACGACCACTTGGTAAAGGAGTGCCACAGGGAAGTATCCTTGGTCCCCTGCTCTTCTTCCTCTAAAAATCCCTGCATATACTATGGGACCATTCACAATAGAGATGGCAAGCAATCCAGGCCTGTTTTCGTCCCTTACCCTTCCTGCAGACTACACAGATCTTCATGGTGGTGGTAATTTTACAATACTTGACAACTCTCCTAGCTAGTTAGTCTATAATTCCTCGAAGTATTTATTTTTTTGTAAGATTAGATTTTTTTTTTTAGATTTTGCCACCGAAGTGGCTAGTTTATTGTGCACCCCATATCCATCCTGTGGACGGTAGCGCGAGAGCATATGGATACACAAAAGGCCTAGGAACTAGGCCCCAAAGGGTTAACAGGAATACATATAGATTTATATCTACATATCTATAGTTCACTTATCTGTTACAAGCAAATTTAGGAAATTTGCTTAGTATATCTGGTATCTTATTTTCATTAATAAGATATCTTGACATGTCACATAGGTTATTCTACTGTCTGTCTCTGTATTCTTCAATAAGTGGACAATTAAGCACATAGTGTTCAAGACAGTGACCATATGCCTGATCACAAAATTTACATTTAGTTTGATCATCATCTGTGTGTCTCCCAAACTGCCAGAAGTACTTGTAACAAAGCCTAAGCCTGGCCACTACAACATCAGTCAGTCTGTTCACATTGTAAGTTGCTCCATAAACATATTTATCTACGTTAATGTTATCATAGTGGGTTATAGATCTACTCAGGCTTCTAACTGCATTCCTATAACAATCATTTTCATTGTTTATTTTCATTGTTTACTTTAGCTAGGCTAAATGCTCTCAAAGCTGTTGCTGGCTACAATCCCAACTATGGTGCTAATGTGAGAATCGTGAGAATGATGTACATAGCCTATGTTAGGTCCTTAATTGATTATGCTGCTCCCATGTTGATATTAGCTAGAGAAAGTTCCCTCCGACCCTTGGAGTTAATACAAAATGAAGCTCTCAGGACTATTCTTGGCTGTCCCAGATCTACAAAAGTTCTTAACATGAGGAAGGAGCTTGGTATTTCTAGTATCAGTGATAGGATTGTTGAAATTAACACTGTACTCGGTATTAAGATAAGATAAGATAAGATTTCGTTCGGATTTTTAACCCCGGAGGGTTAGCCACCCAGGATAACCCAAGAAAGTCAGTGCGTCATCGAGGACTGTCTAACTTATTTCCATTGGGGTCCTTAATCTTGTCCCCCAGGATGCGACCCACACCAGTCGACTAACACCCAGGTACCTATTTGCTGCTAGGTGAACAGGACAACAGGTGTAAGGAAACGTGTCGAATGTTTCCACCCGCCGGGAATCGAACCCGGGCCCTCCGTGTGTGAAGCGGGAGCTTTAGCCACCAGGCCACCGAGTGGGGTGGTTGCTGGGCCGGCGTCCTCCTGGCTACACTTGTTGAATAGTTGATTTTTCGGTGTTTTCTTGCTGGCCTTGGTGCTGTTTCCTCTTAGATTGCGCCTCATAATACTACAGGAATTGTTGTAGCCAAGAAGAAGTTGTAGTTATACAAATTATTATTATTATAATCAAGGGGGAAGCGCTAAACCCGGAGGATTATACAGCGCCTGGGGGGGGGGGATGTGGAAGGCATTCAGGCTTAATTCGGGGAACTGGAGCACAGATCCAATTCCCTAAATCAAGAGCCCCTCACCAACATCAAGGAACCTTCCTTGAGGAGTAGTTATACAAATTATTATAATCAAGGGGGAAGCGCTAAACCCGGAGGATTATACAGCGCCTGGGGGGGGGATGTGGAAGGCATTCAGGCTTAATTCGGGGAACTGGAGCACAGATCCAATTCCCTAAATCAAGAGCCCCTCACCAACATCAAGGAACCTTCCTTGAGGGGTAGTTATACAAAGCTTAGGGTTACGTTGTTCGGCTGGCAGCGGGGTGTTGCTTTGGGTTTGAGCAGTCTTCCTTTGATCTCATTATTTTCGGTTTGTAGGTTTCACTGTTGGTAATCTTTGGTCATTCTGGGTGCTAGGTTGGGTAGTGCAGTTTTGCTTGTAACTAGGTCATCATAAGAGCATTGGTGGCTCTGATAGTTGGAGAAAAGTACAGAGCTTGGAGGTCGCTCCCTCAAGGAAGGTTCCTTGATGTTGGTGAGGGGCTCTTGATTTAGGGAATTGGATCTGTGCTCCAGTTCCCCGAATTAAGCCTGAATGCCTTCCACATCCCCCCCCCCGGGCGCTGTATAATCCGCCGGGTTTAGCGCTTCCCCTTTGATTATAATAATAATTGGAGGTCGCTGCTGTTGTTTATCTTTGTGAATTATTATTTCTTTTTCTATTCATTAATTTTCCTGAGGAGGAGCCAGCGTTAGTAATACTGTTTGAAGTTGTTACAGAGCTGAGTAAGTCTAAACACTGAATGATCATAAAATAATTCCTTTTTTTTTTTCGTGTCACCCTACCTGGGTGAGAGTTGATAGATGTTTAATAATAATAATAATAGTTATTAATAAAATAAAACGAAAAAGATCCTCTAATATCGAACTACTAAATACTAAAACTAAAAATCTCTAGTAACAGTGTTGAGAGTTGCTCTCCTCGAGAATTACTCAGGATAACTGAAGAGCAGGAACAGCGACGTGTTCTCTCCATGGCGGCTGGGCAGCTTCTCCAGTGTGTCTTGCAAGTTGTTACAGGGCTCACCAAGTCTTCACAATTAATGATCGTAAAATTATTCCTTTTTTTTTTCGTGCCACCCTACCTCGGTGAGAGTTGGTAGATGTTTAATAATAATAATAATAATTGTTATTAATAAAATAAAACGAAAAAGATCCTCTAATATCGAACTACTAAATACTAAAACGAAGCGATAAACCCATGTGGGTTATTCAAAGCAAAGGTTATCCACAGGCTGCGTCTTCAAGCTGCGGGTATAGAAGCAGTTGCTCTGCGAGGCTTTACAGTTTTTCGAGATGTGATTTCGCTAGCTGCGGCTTCACGAGCTGCGGCTTCACGAGCTGCGGCATCACGAGCTGCGATTTCACGAGCAGTTGCTCTGCCCCTCTTTACAGATTTTCGAAAGGTGATTTCACGAGCTGCGGCTTCTCGAGCTGCAGCTTCACGAGCTGCAGCTTCACCAGCTGCGAATTCACGAGCTGCGAATTCATGAAATGCAGCTTCACGAGCTGCGGCTTCTCGAGCTGCAGCTTCTCGAGCTGCGGCTTTACGAGCTGCGAATTCACGAGCTGCAAATTCACGAGCTGCGAATTCACGAGCTGCGAATTCACGAGCTGCGGCTTCTCGAGCTGCGGCTTCTCGAGCTGCGGCTTCTCGAGCTGCGGCTTCTCGAGCTGCGGCTTCACGAGCTGCGGCTTCTCGAGCTGCAGCTTCTCGAGCTGCGGCCTCACGAGCTGCGAATTCACGAGCTGCGAATTCACGAGCTGCGGCTTCACGAGCTGCGGCTTCTCGAGCTGCGGCTTCTCGAGCTGCGAATTCATGAGCTGCGGCTTCACGAGCTGCGGCCTCACGAGCTGCGGCCTCACGAGCTGCGGCCTCACGAGCTGCGGCCTCACGAGCTGCGGAAACACGAGCTGCGGCTTCTCGAGCTGCGGCTTCACGAGCTGCGGCTTCACGAGCTGCGGCTTCACGAGCTGCGGCTTCACGAGCTGCGGCTTCACGAGCTGCGGCTTCTCGAGCTGCGGCTTCACGAGTTGCGGCTTCACGAGCTGCGGCTTCACGAGCTGTGGCCTCACGAGCTGCGGCCTCACGAGCTGCGGCCACACGAGCTGCGGCTTCTCGAGCTGTGGCTTCACGAGCTGTGGCTTCACGAGCTGCGGCCTCACGAGCTGCGGCCTCACGAGCTGCGGCCTCACGAGCTGCGGCCTCACGAGCTGCGGCTTCTCGAGCTGCGGCTTCACGAGCTGCGGCTTCACGAGCTGCGGCTTCATGAGCTGCGGCTTCACGAGCTGCGGCTTCACGAGCTGCGGCTTCTCGAGCTGCGGCTTCACGAGTTGCGGCTTCACGAGCTGCGGCTTCACGAGCTGCGGCTTCTCGAGCTGTGGCTTCTCGAGCTGCTGCTTCACGAGCTGCGGTCTCACGAGCTGCGGCCTCACGAGCTGCAGCCTCACGAGCTGCGGCCACACGAGCTGCGGCTTCTCGAGCTGCGGATTCACGAGCTGCGGCTTCACGAGCTGTGGCTTCACGAGCTGCGGCCTCACGAGCTGTGGCCTCACGAGCTGCGGCCTCACGAGCTGCGGCTTCACGAGCTGCGGCTTCTTGAGCTGCGGCTTCTCGAGCTGCGGCTTCACGAGCTGCTGCTTCACGAGCTGCGGCTTCACGAGCTGCGGCTTCACGAGCTGCGGCTTCACGAGCAGCGGCTTCACGAGCTGGGGCTTCACGAGCTTCGGCTTCTCGAGCTGCGGCTTCTAGATCTGCGGCTTCAAGAGCTGCGGCTTTACGAGCAGCGGCTTTACGAGCAGCGACTTCACGAGCTGCGGCTTTACGAGCAGCGGCTTCACGAGCTGTGGCTTTACGAGCAGCGGCTTTACGAGCTGCGGCTTCATCATGCTCTCTGGCCTCGGCCTCTCTTGCCTCTGCCTCCCTGGTTTGGGCCTCCCGGGCCTCGGCCTCCCTGGCCATTTCTTCTCTGGCCTTTGCCTCTCTAGCCTTTGCCTCTCTAGCCTTGGCCTCCCTATCTTGTCCATTGCGTGCCGCAATTTCGCGATGGATGTCTTCACGTTGGGCGGCTGCTACTACGGCTGCTTTCCGAGCCGCTACTTCGTAAGCAACTGCCCTCCTAATGGTGGCGTCTCGCTCAGCCTCTTTACGCGCCGCAACTTCAAGAGCCTTGTTCGCCCGTCGAGCTGTTTCGTTCATCTGCTCCCTTGTCAAACCTGGCTGCCTGTGGACATCGGTGATGGGCATGTATCGTCTAGCGAAGATATGGTCAGCGGGAGTTGGTGTTCTAACGCCGGACAGTGGCATTTTGTCGAAAACACTAGTATGTAGTATAAACTCAATAATGTTATCAGTAATACAACCGACAACGAACAGAGTTAGATATTGTAACTTAATTAGGCTTGAAGTTCTTCGAATATCCAGTTTGAATAATTATAGTGACCTTGGAATTTTAACTGAATTAGGTACGAAGTTCTATAGAATATCCAGTGTGAATAATTGTAGTGACATAGGAATTGCGTGTGAATCATTTTACTAGTGGCAGTGATAGTGCGTCATAGTAGTAGTGGTAGTACATTGTAGTACTAGTAGTAGTAGTAGTGATAGTGCGTCATAGTAGTAGTGGTAGTACATTGTAGTACTAGTAGTAGTAGTAGTGATAGTGCGTCATAGTAGTAGTGGTAGTACATTGTAGTACTAGTAGTAGCAGTAGTGTCAGTAGAAGCAATCGTAAAACTAGGAGCATTGTCATTATTAGTAGTGTAGTTCCATTTTTTTGTTTATGCCATTATTTTCATTATTGTTATAATTATTAATATTTTATAATTATGTGAAGTGTTTGTAGTGATGGTTGTGGTGATGGTTGTGATGATGGCTGTAGTGATGGTTGTGGTGATTGTTGTGGTGATGGTTGTAGTGATGGATGTAGTGATGGTTGTGGTAATGGTTGTGATGATGGTTGTGATGATGGTTGTGATGATGGTTGTGATGATGGTTGTGATGATGGTTGTGATGATGGTTGTGATGATGGTTGTAGTGATGGTTGTGGTGATTGTTGTGATGATGGTTGTGATGATGGTTGTAGTGATTGGTGATTGTTGTGGTGATGGTTGTGATGATGGTTGTGGTGATGGTTGTGGTGATGGTTGTGATGATGGTTGTGGTGATGGTTGTGGTGATGGTTGTGATGATGGTTGGGTGATGGTTGTGGTGATGGTTGTGGTGATGGTTGTGGTGATGGTTGTGGTGATGGTTGTGGTGATGGCTGTAGTGATGGTTGTGGTGATGGTTGTGGTGATGGTTGTGGTGATGGTTGTGGTGATGGTTGTGATGATGATTGTGGTGATGGTTGTGGTGATGGTTGTTGGTGATGGCTGTAGTGATGGTTGTGGTGATTGTTGTGGTGATGGCTGTAGTGATGGTTGTGGTGATGGTTGTGGTAATGGTTGTGGTGATGGCTGTAGTGATGGTTGTGGTGATGGTTGTGGTGATGGTTGTGGTGATGGTTATGGTGATGGTCGTGGTGATGGTTGTACAAAATATCAGTGTGTATGATTGAAACGAGCTTGGAATTAGACGTACATCACCTTAGTAGTAGTGGTAGCACGTAGTACATCGTGGTAGTAGTAGTTAGTTTAATATGTTTATTATGCACCCCATACCCATCCTGTGGGCGGTAGTCAAAAGATTACAGAGGTACATAATGGGTCCAGGGACTGGGCCTCAAAGTTTTGATAGCTGAGCAAGTTACAGAGGTAATGAATTCACAATTTACAAAGGTAATGAACTCACAATTTACAAAGGTAATGAACTCCAGGTAGGTCTAGTCACAATCATGACAAGTTACAAAGGTATTTACAGATTACAGAGGTACACAATGGGTCCAGGGACTGGGCTCCAAAGTTTTGATGGCTGAACTAGGTACAAGGTAATGAACTCACAAGTTACAAAGGTAATGAACTCACAAGTTACAAAGGTAATGAATACTGTAAGAATGGTTACTTACGTGTATACATGGCTGCAATCATGAACAAATTTTAGAGTAATGAGCAATTCACACTTCCACACCCGGTCACAACTGTAGTGAGTTATTGGTGCAAATGTTGATTGCTGAGTCTCTCTCTCTCTCACACACACACACACACACACATAGTGGTAGTAGTGGTAGCACGTAGTACATCGTGGTAGTAGTAGTAGTGGTAGTGGTAGTAGTAGTAGTGGTAGTAGTGGTAGCACGTAGTACATCGTGGTAGTAGTAGTGGTAGCACGTAGTACATCGTGGTAGTAGTAGTAGTGATAGTAGTAGTAGTGGTAGTAGTGGTAGCACGTAGTACATCGTGGTAGTAGTAGTAGTGATAGTAGTAGTAGTGGTAGCACGTAGTACATCGTGGTAGTAGTAGTAGTGATAGTAGTAGTAGTGGTAGTAGTAGTGATAGTTACATTTGTTGTTTTTGCTATTATTATTATTATTATTATTATTATTATTATTATTATTATTATTATTATTATTATTATTTTAATTTTTATTATCACACTGGCCGATTCCCACCAAGGCAGGGTGGCCCGAAAAAGAAAAACTTTCACCATCATTCACTCCATCACTGTCTTGCCAGAAGGGTGCTTTACACTACAGTTTTTAAACTGCAACATTAACACCCCTCCTTCAGAGTGCAGGCACTGTACTTCCCATCTCCAGGACTCAAGTCCGGCCTGCCGGTTTCCCTAAACCCCCTTCATAAATGTTACTTTGCTCACACTCCAACAGCACGTCAAGTATTAAAAACCATTTGTCTCCGTTCACTATCAAACACGCTCACGCATACCTGCTGGAATTTCCAAGCCCCTCGCAAAACAAAACCTCCTTTACCCCGTCCCTCCAACCTTCCTAGGCCGACCCCTCCCCCGCCTTCCTTCCACTACAGACTGATACACTCTTGAAGTCACTCTGTTTCGCTCCATTTCTCTCTACATGTCCGAACCACCTCAACAACCCTTCCTCAGCCCCCTGGACAACAGTTTGGTAATCCCGCACTTCTCTCCTAACTTCCAAATTTACGAATTTTCTGCATTATATTCACACCACACATTGCTCTCAGACATGACATCTCCACTGCCTCCAGCCTTCCCCTCGCTGCAACATTCATCACCATTGCTTCACACCCAATAAGAGAGTTGGTAAAAACTTTACTCTATACTTTTCCCTCTTTGCCCCCCAAGGACAAAGTTCTTTGTCTCCACAGACTCCTAAGTGCACCACTCACCCTTTTCCCCTCATCTTTTTTATGATTCACCTCATCTTTCATAGACCCATCCGCTGACATGTCCACTCCCAAATTTTCTAAATAATTCAACTCCTCCATACTCTCTCCTCCAATCTGATATCCAATCTTTCATCACCTATTCTTTTTGTTATTCTCATAACCTTACTCTTTCCTGTATTCACTTTTAATTTTCTTCTTTGCATACCCTACCAAATTCATCCCCCAACCTCTGCAACTTCTCTTCAGAATCTCCCAAGAGCACAGTGTCATAAGCAAAGAGCAACTGTG